ACAGGCACTGGGGCTGCAGACAAAACTTTCTGCTGCTTGTGGTGGTTAATCAGAGAGTTGGAGGCATGTGGGTGGATCCCCCTCCTTGAAGTGCGACTGCTGGTTGGTAAGAGGAGGGTAAAAAAGACCACCTTTATTGCCGAAACAGGTCACTTTTACGATTCATGACACAAACTGGGTTTCTAGAATTTGTTTAGCTTGTGACAGTATGACATGGTACAAAAAAGTCACTCATCAGTCACTAAAACCCTGGCTGCATGCACATTCCCAGAATCCACCGCAGCTTCTGAAGGTGCCTTCAGCAGAAAAGTGCAGAAAGGAGGAGGGATAAGAAAACATGTGTCCTATGTCAAGGCTTGGACCAAATCTCAGAGTATTAGGATCAAAATCAGTGTCTACTTCTCTCCCTATGTCTTTACATAATTTTCTACTTTGATCACAGCCAAACATGGAGAGTGGACCACTTTGATTATCCAATGACATTATGAGTGAAAAAATCCCTCCTGTGTAAACTCTGCTGGGCTCTGATAAAAGCCCATCCCGCAGGGCCTTCTCCCACCACCCACACTCCCTCGAGAAATCACCGTCAGTTCCACGCTTGACTCTCAAAAACTATGACTAAGTTCTACAGTCACAAAGCTGCACATGAAAAATGTCTGAAGAGGAGGAGGGGAGGAGATTCAATAGAAATATGACAGACTCTAACAAGTTCAGGGCTGTAGCTTTTAAACAATTGTCTTATGGTGACTCCACCATATGCCTCAGCGTGGCTCCTGAGCTGCTCTTTGCATGCTCATACGCTCACTCTTTAAGCCTACACATTTATTCAATTGGGGAGGGTGCAGACTCGGCGTGTGCCTCTAGAAATGTGAAACACTGGAGTCTGTGGTTGCACACAAAAACAGGCAGCTCCTTTTTGACGGCTGGCTTGGCCTGTTTTTGACAAATGTTTGTTTATACTATAATATAAGACAGCGGAAGTGTAATGCTAACTGCCATATGCATACACAGTAGAGTATACACACATCAATAACAGCAATAACTGTGTATGCACGGTTGCGAAGGAGGTTGCTTATATATGCCTGAAGACTGTGCTGGACCTTAAAGGGATATTCCGGTGTAAAATTAATTTATTTAAACACACCGCAACACCGAGTTAACAGCAATAGCCATACACAGCGGTCTGAGGAGCCATAAACAAAAATCAACAAAAAGTCACTCTATAGCCACAAATAATGCTCAGAACAGCACCTAACTTCATCAACAGTACATATAGGGTCCTAACCACAACACTAGCCACCAAATATCTTATTAACTTTGCCTAATTGCTTCAGCAAAGAGACTAAACACAACTTACCTACTCTCTTCCAGAAGCCACTTGTTTGTAGTGAAACCTCAGGCCATTCCATTACGGATTGCTGTGGGATGACGCAGCTCAAGGAAGAACATTTATGATCTTTTCTTTATTATTTCCTCAAAGTAATAATCACCATTTTAATCATTTTGCACTGCAGATACGGTAGTTCTTCTGCCTTAGTGTCTCAGTCTAATGGCATTCCCATGAAGAAATGATCATAAATGTTCTTCCTTGAGCTGCGTCACCCCGCAGCAATCTGTAATGGACTGGCCCGAGGTATGCTACAAACAAGCGGCTGCTGGAAGAGAGTAGGTGAGTTGTGTTTAGTCTCTTTGCTAAAGAAATCAGGCAAAGTTAAAAAGATGTTTGGTGGCTACTACTATGGCTGGTACCCTATATGTACTGTTGATGAAGTTAGGTGCTGTTCTGAGCATTATTTGTGGCTATAGAGTGGCGTTTTGGTTGAGGTTTGTTTATGGCTCCCCAGACTGCTGTGTATTGCTATTGCTGTTACGGTGTGTTTGACCCTAACTTTATTTTACGCTGGAATATCCCTTTAAGATGTGTCTTGCAGGGAAGCTTGGAACTGGCTATTAAGGATCTGTCTTTGGTAAGAGAAAACCCTGAGACGACAGCATTCACTATGGGACCTCTACTTATCTTCTTACAAGGTGCAGCATGATTCCTTAAACCCTCCAAGACCCCTCTCTTAACCCCTGCCTCCACGCCTCTACTCCACAGACCTCATAGCATCCATCCTGAGGACAAGCACATGGTTCCACTTTCTCTTGTCTATCTCAACCAGTTCATGTGTTTCCAAACAGAGGACGTCACTGCGGCAGATCACTTTACAGGGATCATGGGGGACATCTGTTAGGAAAATGGAAAAACAAAACTGAACCAGGTTTTACATGTTCGCCGGAATTCAATTAAAATCTGATTAGTAGAAGTATTAGGGGGCCAGCTCGGTCCGCCATTGCACGTTTGGTTGTCACTATCCCTTAGCCTGGTCAGGTTACTGTGGGGATTACCCCTAACAGTATGACCTTTGACCTGTAGACAGGTGCCTGTGGGAAGGATGGGACAGCAGTCGTGTCACCATTCCATGTGGGATTCACAGGACTATCAAAACAGGGGTCTCCCCATACCATTCCAGAGGACATACCCTCTTATAATGCACAGGAATGCGTGCACATGCTTCAGATACCTAGAAATAAGTGACTGATTGAGAATTATGGAGATGTAAAATAGAGCCATCAGATCTGTCACAATGTGCAAATATCAAATACTTATGAATATCTTGTGTGTCTCATACTCAACTTTTTCATCTAAACACGGGTTCAATATATGATGGGCATTTAATATTTTAACCTTTCTCCTTTGTTAGCGTTCACTACGCACCTACTATGTTAAGGGTCGGTTTCGAATTGTGTCTTAAATCAGCTGTAAATTACACTAAAAACAACTCTCTATCATCCAGTTTGGTTCTCATCTTAAGGTTACCTTGTTAGACTTCATTATCCATGAAAATATTGCTTATAATATTTTTTGTTGTGGGTCTGTGGGCCTTTCTTTGTCAGTTTAGCCCTCATACAGACATCTATACTGAATTATTCTCACATGTCTGGACATGTCCAACGTTTTCTAGTGCAGGGAAAAACATGGCAAAATGAGAATTTCCTAAATGTCAGATGATTGGAAGAGGATCTGACTGTCAGTGTGGAGCCTGTCAGTGCAAATATGATTTTAGTTTTTGCTCTAATTATTAGATTATAAGAGCATTTTATAATTTAGTCAATTTAATTTTGTCATTTTTATTTTGTTGAAACAGAGGTTCCTGACAAAGTCAAAAAGTCTTGATGCAAAAAAGCTAATTTATGTGGTTCTTTTAAGCATTTAAAAACAAAAACAGGTCGGTGCAGACCGTAACACAGGAGGAAGGTTAACATCTATTTACTGTTTTTTTACTTCATTTACCTTATGCCAACTCAAATCTCCTCTGTATTACAGTCTCAGAATAGCCAATCGAACTTTTTTCAACATATCAGGACCTAGAAGATTTAATAACTCACTGTCTATGATGTCCTGTGAAAACTGAGGTCATTTATTCACCCATGACATGTTTGAATCAACTGTACATCCACTGGAACCGTTTAAGTGCAGGATTCCCGAAAGTGCAATGGAGTCTGCACATGTGGTAAACTCTAGATCAAACTGAATTTCTGTCATAATACACTGTGGTAAACACACACAAGTATGCATGGGCAGCAATTTGGAAAAATGAAGAGAGAAAAAAAAAATACTTTGATTATTATATTTTTCTGCCACCAGAATGAAAAAGCTCTGTCTGCCCTCATTTGTTCATCAAAGAAAAGCCATTATATTTTCCAACACCAAGTGACCGTGCAGAAACAGAAGCATTTAAACAATAAGAGGAGAAGAAAACAAGAAAACAAAAATCCCCAGCTGTTTCCATTTTGCACTGTTTACCGAGGTTTCCCCCAGCAGACTAAATAGGCCTGTGTTTGTCTTCACCATGCACTACACAGCCGCTCCAACCCCAAGACCTCTACTTAGGCAGTGTGTGGAATAAACAGCTTTCCTCTGAGGGCCCGAGAGAAGCAACGGTGGATATGCGCGGAGATGGGAGAGGTGAGTGGAGGTCTTACTGGATGAGCTGTTATCACAGTCCGGCACAGCACAGATACTGAAACACTTCCTGCTTTTATTTATTTAAATGTGTTTTATGTCTTCTGCTGCGATATTATTGGATAATCAGTGGTCTACTTTCCATGCCTGGTTGAGCTCACATTACAAAATTATGTAAAGACATAGGGAAAGAAGTAGACACTGTTTTTGATCCTAATACACAGAGATTTGGCTCAAGCCATGAGGTAGGACATGCGTGGAAATGTTGCCAAACAGCATCAGCACCACCAGCTCCTAGCTGAGGCCATTTACTGTGGAAAACAGTATCCGCGAATGCTACTGCAGGAGAACGAGCTGCAGAAATGTAGAAAAACAAAGTCAATCTGTACTTTCCAGCAGTTTGGAAATGCTTCTGAAGGACGGTAGATATGCCGTGGCAAATACACTGGAGTGAAATTCCCTCATTTAGGGATCATGACCTGTTCTCACAAGTGCATTATCTCTGGAAGAAAGCCCCTGTGCTGCAGAATCAATTAAAAACAACCAGACAGAATGGAAGGATTAAAAAACAACTGCAAGTGCACAGCTGATAAGAGTGTTTGAAATCCTCATTATCAGATAAAATGATTATCCTTGAAAGGAGTTGATGTGGCCATTAAAAACAATGGAGGCAGATTATAAGTGCCTTTAAAAGTTTACAGTTAAATGCCAAGCCTCATCGATTGCCACAGTAGAAGCCAACATGTTCTCTATGCTCAATGAAAAGTGTTTGCTCAATGGAGTTTAGATTTTGTTGTCTAGAAAACTAAACATTGCTGTGTGTGCCTTCGCTTGTTCCCTTTGTTCAGTGCAGTGGTGGCTTTAGGCTGTGCAGAATCAAGGACAATTGTAGACCAGATTATTTGAATGACTGAAAAAAAGGCAAAGCAATCATCCATAGCCCTCTTCAAGGAAGTGAAATATCCAAATAATAAGAGGCAGATTATGTTTTAGTCTTTATCAACACAAACAGACATACCCCGGCTCAGAGGAAAATCTATATTCTCTGTACAGTACACAGTTTGATATCCAGGCCATCATGTCCTTTTGGATCCATTAATCACTTTCTGACAAGGCGGCGAGTGTAACGCCACTCTGAAAGAAGCACCACAGATAAAGTCTCATCAGTCAGACTTTTACTATGTGACAGCAGATCACAGCTGAGATGCTTCACGCTTACAAAGTCTTGACGCATGAGCAGGTTCTGCAGTGTGTCGTCAAGATCAATGTGTCACATTATGCTTTTATTTTGACAAAGAATGGATCATCGTGAGTTTTAAGAGAGAATAAAGTCATAGTGGATCATTCCTCTTAGCTTTGCAGCTTCTCCGTGCCCCTTACACTCCTTATAGGAGGGAAACAAGCAGGCTAATGCATGTGTGTGTTTTCTAGCACCATTTCCCAGTGTTGGCTAGTTGATCTGATTTAGGAATTTGTGATTTAATGTTTATTCAAACATGTTAGTCTAACATTTGCCCTATATGAATAAAAAAGTATTTTATGAGACTTTTATATAACCTTTTTAGACACTTTATTTTGGAGAAAGAGAAAACTATGCCACACAGCAGTTAACTTTTAGATTATGCATCTCCTGTCCCCACCTAAAACCACATAGTAGCCCTAATGCTCCTGAAAAGCAATGCATTAAAAAGGTTTAAAAAGTGCAACCTGATGTCTCCTGGAAAAAGCTCACAAAGTGTTACAATCCATCCCAAACCTCCCCCTCACAGCAGCCCCTTTACTTCGAACAGTATACTCTGAAACAGAGTGCACACAACTGCAAGTGTAGAAGTTAAAAGTGTGAACAGATTTTTTAAGTCCAAAAAAATCCATTCTGTGAGGTTTTCAGCTCCACAAAAAGTTTCATTTTGATATCCAAATTTTAAAACAAGTGTCACCCACAGTGTCTGTTAAATGTCTTTAATCCACAAACCACACTGTCAACGGTTTTGAGTAACTGATAATCGTGTCTGGGGATTATTTCTGGATGACGTTTGCAGTTTAAATGGACATGAGACAGACATACTGCACAGAACGAATCATCCCCAAACCATCTCACTGTTGCTGCAGATAAGTACTCTGTACACATCGCAGTAACCTAAAATAACTTGAGCAGCAGCTCTATCAGTCCTGTATTATACCCCCGAGAAAAGATGCCTACCGAGTCTTTCTCCAACTCTCATTTGCAAGTTATGCAATTTAAAGGTTGTTGGCACGTACATGTAATATCAACACCTGTCTCTTAAACCTGATACATCTGGAGAACACCCAGAAAACCTGCATGAACTTGCTGAATCAAGCAGTCATTGGAGAGAAATAGATGCAGTTTGTTTGAGGTTTGTTTTCATAATAAAACTGCTAATGAAGAAAAGGTGCATTCTTTTATTCTGGTTAAATGTAACATGAAGCCTCACTAAATTAGCCAAAGAAAAAGATCAAACTGAGGAAGGCATTAAGTGAAGTAAACATTTCTTTAGAGCACCTGTATCCCTGATATATTCACACATAAACAGTGCATAGAAGCATTTTTCCAAAATGGATACAAGCCCATGTAACAAACCTCTTTGTTAAATCATAAATCTTTCATGACGGTGGATGTTGGAATTGCAAAAGTCTTTTGACGTTCATCTTAGTTTACCAACCTTTTGATTTAGCACTGCATCACTGGCCGTCAGGGAGCCGATGTGGGCCAGAGAGGTGAGAGGCTGCTTTGTTCTGTAGCGAGGCTGACAGTCTCTTTATCTCCTCCTGTCAGACAGAATACTGTTTGATCTGCAGCTTCTCCATGTCTTCCATCTCTGGTCAAATGACCTCAGTCCATAAAGTGAGGCTGTTTTAATACAGGCAGCAACTGCAAGTTTGCTGAAAGTGCGAGAAAAGGGCGTCAAAGTTCAGTCAGTGTGGTTGTCTTGACTTAGAGTGTCTGTTTGATGCATTATTTAACACAAACGGAGCACATCCAAACGGTCTTAAGGTCTTGGATACATGACTGTAAATTTTACTGAGCAACTTTATTCCCTCCCTAAAATGTTAATCTGTAATAATTGTGAGAAAAACACAGATAGCCTACAGTATTTTTCAGAAAAGAGGACACAGAGAGAGAAAAATGTTTATCTTTTATACAATATGTTTGCTGAAAGTACAATTGTTTGTCACCTGTTTGGTTTCCCTCCAATTTTCTTACACCCCACCTTTCAGACCAGGAACTGACAAACAGAGTGGAGGAAAGCTATTGGCTTATAAAGAGGTGTTCACAGTGGGAGATACCATGTTGGCATAGGTGGAGGGGGAGTTTAAAGTTGCATTATCCAGAAATGCTCTTTCAATTCCATTTGATAAACTAGAAAGGCCCCAGAAAGATTTTCAGGTATGTTACAAAAATCAGTTGGATGTGTTTTATGTTGTGTATTTGTGTTTTATCTCTTGTGAAAAGATTGATAACAGTTTGTGGTTTTCTCTTGGTACAGTCCAGCTACTCTTAAACAGGAGCCTGAAGTTTTCCAGGGTAACTGTTGTGGTGTTATTTCATAATTATATTAAAATGAATCAGAGCTGCAAAGCCCCCAAAAGTAGCATTGTGTAAAATCTAGTGGTTGCCATTTTTTAAAGATTAGTTATCCTCTTCTTGCAAACATAAACTCCTTTTATTCTCTCGTTCTACTGGGCCTTCAATGTAAAACATGTTGCATGAGATTTTTTGTTTACTGTAAATAAATTCACCTGGAATACATGCTGGATTTTTGCTTCAGTTTTGTGCCTAAAACCATGAGGCCACCACCAGTGTCATATGTACAGTATATACAAAACTTAATCATACATGTGCTGCAGATGGACAGGCATCTATATGCTTTTAAACACACACACACATTACACACAAGTTTGGCCCTGGCCGTCTCTGCTCTAATAGCTCGTGCTGGAGTGAATGTATTCCACTGCCTCTCTTTGTCTCCTTCTCCTGCTCTTTTACAGGACGGGTGCCTTTTAGCAGCTCACATCACAGAGCCCTACAAATAGCAATTAAAACGGATGTGCTACACTAGCTCTGCATTGGGAGAGAGAGAAAAAGAGAAGAGAAATGAGAGGGGACATGAGTGAGGGAGACAGACAGAGAGAAATAAAAGAGAGGAAGTATGCGAGGGAAAATGTACAGCAGCACCTCTCCTTCAAAACCGTGACTGATACCGTGTCTATTGATCTTTATTACAATAGCAGCAAGCTGTAAAATGTTTGATGGTTTTGTACAGATCTTAGTCCCCCTCATTCATAATTACTGCTACACATGTAGAACCAAGGGCAACTTCAGAAGGGGCGCTGTTTGAAAAGCTGCTGCCAGACTGTGGGGATGATGGGAAATCTCTGCGGGGCCTCACGGTAGCTCCAAGCCCTAAGGCTATCATTCCTGCTGCCGAACACCTGCAGCAACTTAAGTTTTACAAAGATCGAATTATGGAGCTGATTTCAAATAAGAAATGAGAACAACCTCGTCTCACAAAGTAGCTCTGCTTTATTTTTATGCTGTTTCTTAGAAAAGTCAGCAGCGCTCAATTTGCAGGAATTCAACGTACTTTCAAGTACAGGCAAAAGCAAATCACGTTAAGAAATGCAAATGGGGTTTGTATGTATTTTATATCCACATGTTGACACTCTCAGTCTTCCCCATGCCCTGCTTTGTCACTTGAGTGTCACCGCTCTCCTCTGTGATGAAGTTAGAGTCGAACGGCACAGCAATAACGCTTCTACCTCATATTGTTGCAGGCCTGGAGGAACATACTCTGCTACAGCCTAAACAAACAAGCAGCCCACAGTCTTCACAACTTATCATCCCATGCTCTGTTTTCTGGGACAAAAGTGTTGCAGCAGTACACCAAGAACCCCCAGGCTGGCCCTGGTTCTGGCTCTCTATTTCCCCTCTCTGCTCAAATTTTAATGTCTTCTCTGAGTGGGAGCCCGGGGAGATACAGGACAAGGATTGAGGAGAAAACAGACCGAGGATACAAAAAATATATATTTGGATGTGTTCCCTCCATCCCAGTGACATTGCACGTCAATGAGAGACAAAAGCAGAGGGGAAGAGTTATAGAGCAGTGGTTTGAGTTTTTCAAAAAATGAGAAGAGGGAGATTTCTGCGGAGAGGTAGAACAATGAAGAGGCTTTAGTCGAAGTTACAGAAAATTAAAAACAAAAGCACCGTTTTACAATTTATGTAAATCATCTGCATACAATTGGATCAAAATGTGTCTTGCAAATTGGACCGAAGGTAAAGATTACAGCCAAATAGAGCAATTCAAAATGGTATTTTAGAGGCACATCAATGTTAAAAAAAATGACTGCAGTGTATCAGAGGTTAAGACAGGCAAACACAACCGAGCAGAGAGAAGGAGAGGACAGAGAGTTCAGAGAACAGTGTCCTAGAGAGATGATTGTTGCTTCCAGCAGTTGAGAACAGGGAAAACAGTCTAGCCTGGCATGCCCTGAATAATGCATCACCCTCTCTGTAGCAGGGCAGATATATGGGTGAGGGGAGCACTGATTTTTGCCCCCTGGCATTGTTGGAGAAATGAATAATGGATAGGTTAAATGCTTGTGTTAAGTATGAATTAGTATAGGGTCTGTTCACTAGCCGTGTTCGTGTGATCATTTGGTCTGGTCTTTACAAATGGGAACAAAAAAGCAGTGTCTTCTATTGGAGAGAGGATGCGCTGTATTTTCACTCCAGCCCGCGCTCATCTTCAGCCGACCACTATCTGCTGCAGATTTCCATCAGATGCTTCAGCCCCTCGTGTCACCCTGCTGCCTGCCACTGATTAACATTTAACAACCAGGGAATACTTTGTCACCAAAAAGAAAAGCAAACTTTGAGCTCTTGAAAGCAACAGTAGAGGGAAAGAAGGAGGGAGGGAGGGAGGAAGGAGGGGGAGAAAAGGAGGGGGAGAAAAGAAAAGAGCATGATACACAGAGTACACAGGAAGCATTTTCACATAGCACGTCATGTATAACTCATGAAGTCCTGACAGAGCCGCGTGCACATTCCTCATTCCCTTTGGCTGTCTCCGGCTGGCAGCCAGGATGAACAAGTTGTTCAGGCCTTTCTCTCGGTCCTCCTTTCTCTTTCCCCTTTCCTGCTCTCACCAGGCTCTGGCACTGCTCCCCCAGGCTAGAGGTTACGATTTTTGGAAATGGGATACGGGGAGCATGGGCAGCTGTGATGGCCAGCACTGGGCTGGCGTGCTGGTTGTGCTGGTGGAGCTGGATGTGCCCACAGCTCCAGAGCAGAGCATTACAGTGGGCCCTGTGTTTAGACAGTCTGACAGATCTCAACCTGAACACCCCGAGAACCCGGGGAATCAGTACCCGATGCATACATCACCCAGCCAACATCTACATCCCCTCTCTCTCTCTCTCTCCCTCCCTCTCTCTCTTTATGCTTGTCTGTTTTGTGAAGCTATCTTGGCTTGTGTCTCTTCATCCTTCCCTGCTTGGAATCTCTTCCCTGACTTTTTCCCTCTGTTTCACTCGCCTCTCCCTCGGTCCCCCTTCAACTCTGCTCCCTCTTATTCTCTCATGTTTCTCTCTCTGTCTCTACCTCCCTCTCCTTTTGAGATTCAATAAGAGCCCTGGAGGCAGGAGAGAGAAAACAGGGGGGTGTAAAAACATCTATGGCTTTATTTACAAAGGGCCCAGGTATTGCCCGGCGTTAAATCCGGGGGAAATGATTTATTTTCCGCCCATGTGTGGCACTGATCCCCGAGGCGTAACTCAACGGTGGACTGGCTTGGTGCTCGCAATTTACGGTGGCTGCAGAGGCTCATAAAGGAAGAATGGATTAATCTGGAACACGACATAAACAATATGACTCTGACAGCCCTATTAAAACCTGTGCTACTCAGCATCAATTCTCTTTCCTGCTCTCGCTCGATCTTTCCGTGGGTGGGAAGCCGACTGGTGGCCCTGGAAAACTGACCAGAGCTCACAGCCTTGTTATTGTGATTCCCAGAGTATCAGATTCAGAAAGTGGGAGGGGGGGGTTGTTGCGCATCTACATATAGCAACCGGACCTTTTAACTGTTTAGCCTTTGGACATCATCGGGGGTATCAGATGTACCGGGTCCAAAGTCGAGGCTCCCACAGTGCTCGTTAGGGCCGGGCCGAGAAGGCTTCCTGTCCCAGTGCCGGTGGCCTCTCATTTTCCACGAGCTGCGCTTCTTTAGGGAATGTGCTGCGCTCACTTCTGCTGGCCAGGGCCTCTGTCTGTGGATGTATGCTCAAATTTGTAGGGAAACATGTTGTGCATGTGACACATGATATGGTTTAGTAGTGGATGCACAAGTACTTACAGACACATGCGCAGACGTGCACACACACACACATACACAAACATTTGTCAGCTGCTCCCTGACCCTCTTGGGAAGGGGTCACTCAGCATCTTCAGTGACCCCAAATGGCACACACCCTCACACACACACACACACACACACACACACACACACACACACACACACACACACACACACACACACACACACACACACACACACACACACACACAGACAGCACACAGAAGCACAGCTTGTCATTTCAATAGCTCCATCTCTGTCAAGGACAGGTGTATACTAAGCCACACAGAAAACACCCACACAGAGACAGCATCCATCTAACCACAGAAGCTTTTAACACATTTAAAAACAGCATTTCCAAGATAGCAACCTGTCTCCGAGAGACAGACTGAGTAAGCGAGCGAGATGAGCACACAAAAAAAGAAAAAAGTCCCTGAACAAGACACAGAGTTACTAATTTATGTCTCGCAATGGTTGGAAGCAACAGAGGCGTCAGTCGAAGAGAGAACAGCCCTGAAATTGAAATCAATAAGTTCATTAGACTGCTGAGCCGGTTCTTGCTGCCCCCTCCACTTCCCCTGCAGACAAACACCACAACACATGAAAAAAACAGGGGCGAAACAAGGCTTGACCTATGTCCACTAGCCAAGCATTCCATTTATTTAGCTCTTATCACAGGCCTGATCTGAAGAGGCAGCTACACACTGATAACGCCCCAGGATAATAGCAAGACCAGACAGGGTCTTACCAAAGAGAGACAGCCCAAAGAAAAGAGAAAGCGAAAATAAAGAAAAAAATGCATTTGGGATCTTCTTGACATTGGTTCTCTGTTTCCCTTCATGTACACACACACATACACACACACA